AAATTTTAAACTTTTTTTGTTAAGTTTTAATTTTTAAACTTTTTTTTTAAAGTTTTAAATTTTAAACTTTTTTTGTTAAGTTTTAATTTTTAAACTTTTTTTTTAAAGTTTTAATTTTTAAACTTTTTTTTAAAGTTTCAAACTTTAAACTTTTTTTAAGTTATAAATTACAGTTTTTTTAAAAAACCATTTTGTTCGCCAGTTTGATTGTCTTTGCCTTCAGAACCAAGTAAATAAATACTTGCTTATTCATAACAAAATAACTATGTACAAGAGGCGAAAATTTCGGAACTTCTTTTGTATTCTGTAAAAATAAAATGAAAATAATTACGATTTTCACCTAAAATATTCAAATATTTCCATATTTTTTAAAATGAACATCTTAAAAGAACATTTTAAAAGATTAGAAATGAACATTTTAAAAGAATATAAATTTTTTTAAAATACAAATGTGTACGATTAAGACGTAATTGTATTACTTACTGTAGAGCAGTGGCATATCTACTATGAAACTAACTAAGCTTATGATTTAAGTTTTATAATTTCGGATTGCCACAAAATAACTACTTTTCGGATTTTATAATTACGGATTGCCACAAAATAACTACAATAACTAGCTTGAACTATAATCCTTCATTGCTCGTCTCAGAAATGTTCTGTAACAGTTCAAGCTGCAGGATTCCAAAAATGTAGGGAGCCATTGACTCTGAGCGATTAAGCATTACTGCGACGTGTGATTTATAATGTATCCAATTATATTACTGTTAATATCACATAAAGTTACTAAATAAACTTTCTATACATCCATTTACGCTGTTGCTTTCGCAGTGGTGCAAGACTACAATTGTACAGGATTTTGTATTAGAGAAAAACACGAAAAACATGAATAATTTAGATCAGTTAGTCAACTAATTTACTAAAATTGTGTTTCTTAAACACGGGTTTAGACTTATACTATCTACATCTGGATAAAACCATCGAACAGTAGCAGTTGGTCGTGGATCCGAATCGAATGTATACACAAATTATTTGATATATAGAATTTCAATCAATATTTTGGGGTGGTATGAACGACGTTATCTTAGTTAGAAGTATGTTAACGTAACTGTCGAGTTTAATAGCAATTTGTCGAACGGGCTATGCATGCATAACGAATAAACATATTCATTTATATATATATATATATACTGTATATATATAAATTAAAGATACCTAATGTATTTTTAACGTTTTCCTAGGAGAGACAAGGATAAAATTTAAAATAATTACAGTAGAACCTCCATTATCCGGATTTTCGATTATCCGGATTGTTCAAAATAAACAAAAATTTTACGAATTTGCTGATTTGCACTTGGCGAATTACGACACTGTTTATGTACGTGATGAAATGCATAACTTTTTTTGTTTCAACAACGTCTCACCCAGCACAGTTGTCGTAAACTCTTAAATATATTTTACGTAATAATAAAAATATAACTTGACATACGTATTTATAAATACTTTATATTCAAATTACATCATTTCTATGACCAAGGGCGGCGTAAGGCATGGACGACGTGTGCCACCGCCTATGCCTCGCGGTCAGAAGGGCCTCGCGCCTCGAAGGTTTATGCATTACTTAAAAGCCGCGAACGCGACGAAAAAATTTTTCTCGTCATACTTTGTCAAATTTTTATTCATAAAAATGCAGTTTCAACTGCTTTTTATTTTATAAAATCCATCTTCTTGCGCCACCAGAGGGCCTTTTAAACAATAGGTAGTCTGTTAGCGTCGGTCAGTAGTAGTCCAAATTCAATATGAACGTTTGTTTCTTGAAAATTTGATCACGATTTAAATACAGTATTTACTTTTAATATTGCCGATATGTCATCGAAAAGAAAACGTGTTGTATTATCATTAAAAGACAAATTAAAGTATTTGTTTCGATTATCCGGATTTTTCCTTATCCGGACTACCTTCATCCCCAATTAGTCCGGATAATCGAGGTTCTACTGTATAAAGGAACATATCAGAGCCATAAAAGAAAATAATAAAAATTCGGCAGTAGCAGAACATTGTAATAAAGAAAAATGTGAAATTGTTTTAGATACGATTAAAATAAAGAAAAAAGAAAGAAAATTTTAAAAGACAGTTATACGAACATATTTATCCATCAATCATGGAACAGTATCATAGATAACAGGAGCAATAGAATGGAAAGTTTATAAAAGTTGTACGCTAAGTAAAAGTGTTTTTTATCTTTGCTTTGCAGGCACAGATATGTGAGTAAAAACAATTCTTTTTAAACGTTTTAAAACATTATATTTTTATAAATGTGTTTTAACTTTATACAGGTATTGTGATATTATGATCTAAATTCTTCTGTGTATTTATTTACATATCGAAGTAATTAACAAAGCTGAAATTGTAAGTAATGCTAACACCAATGTATTATTGTCGGTAATCTGTTATATAGTATTGTAAATTTTTATAAATGTTTGTTTTTAGCATTATGTTATTGTAAACCTACTGAAGAGGGACCTGAAGGTCCGAAACACAAAGAAAGTGTGTACAGGCAAAATACGTGGTGAACAACGAAGATTGTTTGTTATCTCTGGATAATTTTTTTAATTGCAGAAACCGAACACCAATAAAGTCCTAATAATAAGCGCTATCCTATTAGACAATTACATAAGAAACTGTATAAAATACGGACATAAAGGCATACGAAATTACAGACCAAATAATTCGATTTCACGTGCCACCCACAGTTCCACGCCAGAAATTATTATATAAATTTTGAAATGTGCCCTTCTCTTATAATTGTATGAACGATTATTATTGATTAATTTATTAATTCTTTCATTTCAATTAATATTAAAAGCGTAATCTGAAATGTAACGTTCTTTTTTATGCGATTAAGAAAATTATGATTAAAATCGTACACCGATTAAATTGTTTGAACTCAACGAAATAATTAAAATTCATGCAATCATCTACAATACCTTTTAACTATCTTTGATTTTACTTTCGTCTTCTGAAACAAGAACGGATGGTAAACGGAAGTCTTCGCAAAAATTTCAGAAAACCGTCCATACATTTGGTTGTTTCCTGCTAATAATATAAATATTTCGTCAATGAATTATGAAGATTAAATTATCCATAGTTTATGTAGAAGTGTTGGTTTAAAAATAATACTACGAAAGTAATGCAAGCTTAAACACAATAAATAATTGGAAATAATGAAAAAGTATATATTTAAATCTTTTGAAAAAGTTAAAATTTCCTATTAGAAAGACACGAGTCTTTCTAATAGGAATCTTCTGTAAGGAATCTTCTAATAGGAGTCTTCTGTAAATTTTATCAGAAATTGTTAAATATGAGAAATGATTTTGAATGCTGAACATTTACAAGTGTACAGTACATTAATCAAATTCAATGGATTTTGTCAACCACCAGCAAAAATGATCAAATATTCGTTTGTAACACAAAATTCTTTAATAATTAAATATCTTAATTAGTCTTTTCATAACTTTGCTCATTTTAAAAGTAATATTTGAATATTTACAATTTGATTACATGCATTAGTTTTTTAAATTTTGAACATATAATTTTTGACCCGAATGATTTCGTGTTGTCATTTAAAATGTATAGATTCATTGTAAACACTGGAGAAAAACGAAAATCTTAATATACCAAAACACTATTGAAAGTGAAAGTTTAGTGAAGAATGACAATAAATTTATAAAGTAAAAAATATTAAAAAATATTTTCTTACTTCATCATCATCTTCTGCGATGGATTCGCCTATGTTTGAAGATCCATTTTTAATTGCTGACGCCTCTTTGTTCTCCCTGAATTCTCTTTGTTCTCCCTGAATTCGCTTTGTTCTCGCCTGAATTCAAAAATTATATAAGAATTTGAGGAAGAACAACAAAGCAAATGACAAACAGTTTACACCAAATAAACAGAGATGGAATTGTTATTCTAGAAAAATATTTTGGAACTTTATTCTGTAATTGAGTTGATAACATAATCGAACAAGTGGAGGCAGCTTATTGCCCCGAAATTCGCGGTCGTCAATGCCAAACAATTGTTGTCATAGACCTCGGAAAGCTAAATGCTTGTAATGAGAGTTACTTAGCGAGCACGGGTGAAAGCCTGGGGCGTTCGNACACTGGAGAAAAACGAAAATCTTAATATACCAAAACACTATTGAAAGTGAAAGTTTAGTGAAGAATGACAATAAATTTATAAAGTAAAAAATATAAAAAAATATTTTCTTACTTCATCATCATCTTCTGCGATGGATTCGCCTATGTTTGAAGATCCATTTTTAATTGCTGACGCCTCTTTGTTCTCCCTGAATTCTCTTTGTTCTCCCTGAATTCGCTTTGTTCTCGCCTGAATTCAAAAATTATATAAGAATTTGAGGAAGAACAACAAAGCAAATGACAAACAGTTTACACCAAATAAACAGAGATGGAATTGTTATTCTAGAAAAATATTTTGGAACTTTATTCTGTAATTGAGTTGATAACATAATCGAACAAGTGGAGGCAGCTTATTGCCCCGAAATTCGCGGTCGTCAATGCCAAACAATTGTTGTCATAGACCTCGGAAAGCTAAATGCTTGTAATGAGAGTTACTTAGCGAGCACGGGTGAAAGCCTGGGGCGTTCGGGCTACCAAGCTGTCTCGAATTTGTGAAATCATAACTGTGACATATACCGACGTCCTATCTCTCTCTTTCCTCCATTATCACCAGACTATGAGTCACGTAATTGTAAAATTGGAAATCTATGACGGAAAAGTGACGAATAGAAAGTATCGTGAGCGCGTATTATGATGTATGCGTAGGCATACGTGAACTAGAGCGATAGAGGAAAGAGAAAGAGAAGAGGAAAGACAAGCGCTTAAAAAGAAGGATAGGCAGGGTCAGATCCTCAGATGTGCGACGATTCTCGAACGAATAGGTATGTACTGTACGTGTGCTGATCTTTGTAATTATAAATTGTGAATACATGTGACTAATATTATTTTCTTTTTTATTTTGTGCATGTTATAAGTTATAAATAAATATAAACAAACAACACTAACCCGATAACATTAAATCTAAATACCAAAATGATTAATTTACTGTGTTTTTGTTATTTCTTACTCCTGTTTTTAGGTATTCGGTATTCGGCCAAATAGCGAAAAATAGGTCGAATAGGCCGAATACCGAATAGTAACCGAATATTCGTTACATCACTAATTTAAATCTTTTGAAAAAGTTAAAATTTCCTATTAGAAAGACACGAGTGGCCTTCTGTAAATTTTATCAAAAATTGTTAAATGTGAGAAATGAATTCAAATGCTGAGCATTTACAAGTGTACATTAATCAAATTCAATGGATTTTGTCAAACACCAGCAAAAATGATCAAATATTCGTTTGTAACACAAAATTCTTCAATAATTAAATATCTTAATTAGTCTTTTTATAACTTTGCCTATTTTAAAAGTAATATTTGAATATTTACAATTTGATTACATGCATTAGTTTTTTAATTTTGAACATATAATTTATGACTAGAATGATTTCGTGTTGTCATTTAAAATGTATAGATTTATTGTAAACACTGAAGAAAAAACGAAAATCTTAAATATACCAAAACACTATTGAAAGTGAAAGTTTAGTGAAGAATGACAATAAATTTATAAAGTAAAAAATATTAAAAAATATTTTCTTACTTCATCATCATCTTCTGCGATGGATTCGCCTATGTTTGAAGATCCATTTTCAATTGCTGACGCCTCTTTGTTCTCATTAGCTTCTACAAAATAATCATTTAACAATTTATCTTTTCGTAATTTTTATCATAATTACCATATTCAAACAAATTCATTATAAGAAATTTCACCCCACTAATAAGTTTATATAGAAATATATATGTATAAGGCATAATCTGTAGAGGAAGTCAGAAAGTAGTACCATTGTTTAAACAGTGAGGTAATATAATATAATTATTATGAAAATAAAAATAAACTCAGTTTTTTCTCATTGTGAAAGAATTAAAACATTAAAAATATGATTCACTAAATATTGATACAAAAATCTGCCTACGTTCCACGAATTGTCTGTGTTTTAATTGGACTTGAATACGCGTGCAGATTACGATTTCGACTTCTATTAAATAAACGGGTTTCGACAATAATAATCACACCGACTTTATATACAAGAAATTACATTTAAGTTTCGTGTTACATATCACAAGAATTCGAATTTAGTTCTCGATGTCTCAGTTTTACAAGTGTTCATTTTACATTTATACTTTATCTATCTACCTCACACACTCATAGAATCAAGAGAAAGCATAATTTTAAAAATATGGATGAGTTGTATATAATATTGTAAGTGCTAATAACGTGTAAAATCTTCATAAAGAACGATTCTCCACCAGACGTGATGCTTGATCCACTTCTATTTTTCACCCCTTCGAGCTTTAACCATCAAAACTGAATAGCCTCAATGTCCCCTATATTCAAGTTACCGTGCAAATTTTGGTTTGTAATGTTTACCTATCCCGCGATATTAAACGAAATAGATTTGGTCACACACATATTTCAGGAATTACTTTTTCAGTATTTTCTGTGAGTAGGTGTCAAAATACGACAATTCCAAAAACACTAAACTTCAAATGCCTCACGATTAAATTATTATAGCAGCCGAAAAATTAAATTAATCCAATTATATTGCTCATGTGTTAAAATTGCAGAAAATTTAAAGATTATTAGAATTTTCTTGACGTATACTTTGACGGAGGAATTTTTTATAAACTCTTTTGACCTCACCTTTATTCAATACCGATGGTTCTTCGTTCCTTCCAAGTTTTTCATCGTCAGCCTGTAAAAAGTGAAAAATTCTGATTCCTGATAGGATAATCTTACAGAACTCGTAGTGTTTTTTTTATTAACTCAGGAAATCTTTATTTAATAATAAATAAACAATTTGCAACCATTTCAATAACACGTTTTATAAGATTGTGCATTGTTGAAATCGGTTTCTTCAGTTTTAAATTTTTAAATGATAAGAATTATTAAATTAGTTTCAATTAAATTGTAACTTACAGAAGAAGATGATTCTCTTTTTCTTTTCTCGTCAGCAATTTTGCGTTCTCGTTCCGCCAGAGCTTTCAGTTCCATGATGGCATGCACTATCTCTCTAACGGAATCTTCTATGGTTTTCGGTTTAGGTGTTAAATGTTCATTGCCATCATGAACTTTCATTTCAGTGTCATCACCTAGACAATAAAAGTAAACGCAATAAATACAGAAATTCGAAAAACTTTCTTCGCCTGAATTCAAAAATTATATAAGAATTTGAGGAAGAATAACAAAGCAAATGACAAACAGTTTACACCAAATAAACAAATGGAATTGTTGTTCTAAAAAAATATTTTGGAACTTTATTCTATAACAAATCCACAAAAATATAAAAGTAAAATTTTTAAAAAAGCAATTGATTTCTATTTAGAAATTTTTTAATTTAAACGTGTTATACCAGCATAAATATTGCATTATTGTGTGGAAAGTGTAAATTGTTTCGATCATAAAATCAACTGAAAATGTCATATTACTGAAGAGTTATTCTAAGTCAAAGTAAATGAACGGTTATTCATTAACAAACACTCAGAAGCTTACTTTGTCTTCATTGATAGAATTTAATAAAATGTCTGAGTAAAATATGTTTTAAATATTCAGTTTGTAGATTAACTTCAAAAATGTAAATAATCAAATGTTCATTTATATTACAGTTGTGACAACTTTTCATAAAATTGAAATCTCTTGTTAATTTAAAATAATTTTATTTTTGAATATCTTATCTTATTGTAAAAATGTTGTTGTAATTTCTTTTTGCTAATTTTTATTCATCTTAATGGAACCGAATATTTAAATGTCAAAAATGATGCAGAAATAAAATAATTAATTGTTATTCATTTACAGAAAATACAAGTTAATGCTCTAATCAACAGAAAACGAATGTAAAGTTAAATATCGTTCCACCGTATAACATTTTTATTCGTATTTTAAATCATCTCGTAGAAAATTACTATTAATTGCATGTCTTTATATTCATTGCGAACACGTTATTAAAAAGTTAATATAATTATACAGTAAAAACAATTTAACTTACTTAAAGAATTCATTTTCTAAACTGAACGTTAATTTCAATAATTTATCTTCCAACAATTAATTCACTTCGACAATCGCCGAAAATCTATTCTTTATATTTATTGTTTAAGCAACAATGAAAAACGTGCCTACTAGTGATGTAACGAATATTCGGTTACTATTCGGTATTCGGCCTATTTTTCGCTATTCGGCCGAATACCGAATACCTAAAAACAGGAATAAGAAATAACAAAATCACAGTAAATTAATCATTTTGGTATTTAGATTTAATGTTATCGGGTTAGTGTTGTTTGTTTATATTTATTTATAACTTATAACATGCACAAAATAAAAAAGAAAATAATATTAGTTACATGTATTCACAATTTATAATTACAAATATTAGCACACGTACACACCTATTCGTTCGAGAATCGTCACACACATATGAGGGTATGACCCTGCCTATCCTTTTTAAGCGCTCGTCTTTTCTCTTTCCTTTCTCTTTCCTCTATCTCTCTAGTCCACGTATACGTGGACTAGAGAGATAGAGGAAAGAGAAAGGAAAGTGAAAGGAAAGAGAAAATAAATCGTTCTAGAAATAAACATTTTGAAATTAATTATTTTTATTTTTGAATTATCTCGAATATAATAAATTTCGACATGCAACACACGTGAAAGACTGCGGTTAGATATGGCGCGTATTATGCATATATCATAATACGCGCTCACAATACTTTCGATTCGTCACTTTTCCGTCGTAGTTTTTCCATTTTATAATTACGTGACTCATAGCCTGGTGATAACGGAGAAAAGAGACACATAGGACGTCGGTATATGTCACAGTTACGATTTCACAGATTCGAGACAGCTTGATAGCCCGAACGGTCTCAGGCTTTCGCCCGTGCACGCTAAGTGACTTTCATTAGAAGCATTTAGCTTTCCGAAGTCTATGACAACACTTGTTTGGCATTGACGGCAGCAAATTTCGCGCCAATAAGCTGCTTCGACTTGTTCGATTATGTTATCAACTCAATTTCATATTTATTTTCACATTTTCACTTCGCGGTCTTTCTCTGTTCTTTTTCCGTTATTTATACGTGTAGGTCATTTCATTGTTATTCACATTTGATATCATCATTTATCACATACTGCCATGATGCTCTTGTCTGTCCGCTACAACTGTCAAGAATTAACTCAATTGGCGAAGCGTAGTGACAGTGGGCCAATGGAGAGCAGGTCCTTGCCATAATGCGGTTTGCGCGCCAATTTTCGTACGTGCGTTAATCAAGCCGAATAGTTTGGCCGAATATTCGGCTATTCGGCCATGCTCCTGGCCGAATATTCGGTATTCGGCTTGAGGCCGAATATACTACTCGTTGCAACACTAGTGCCTACGGAATGATAATTGCAGCGAGTGCTAAGAAATACGCATGTCGATCAATTTAATTTTGGTTTTCTTTTTTTATTTTGGTGGGTAACTACAAAGTAAGACTCATGCGATTATAAATGAGGATGTTTGTTTGTCACTTTACGGTCGTTCGACCAATTGCTACGGGACTCGGTACTTACTTTCAAACTCTACTGACTTACATCATGTCGTATCTTCCACCCCAAAATATCTATTGGATTTCTATAAATCAATTGATTTTTGTTTACATCGATTTTCTGGATTACTCGTAGCGCTATTTATTGATAAAAATTTAACAAAATAATTAACTACATATAATTCTTACAAAAAGGGACATAATTCTATAAAATATGTATTATATTTACCAAATTACTGCCACAATTATTTAGAGCGAAATAGATGCTCCAATACGTCGTTACTGCGACAGATAGCATATAACAGTCGCCTGCGTGCAGTGTAGTAGTGTTTTGCCCACGTACAGTACATCATACGTTTTCCGTTAGCAGTAGTGCCGTGCCGGTTATGAATGAAACATCGTTTGGGGGAAAACTTTTGTATTGAAATAACGGGAATTATATAGGTAATCGGTTGCGATTTCCATGTCTACTCTCGACTATTATCTATCTAATTCCGTTCTCTGGATTAAGGAAAGTCAGAGACGAACAGACGAACGAGAATTTATAGCTCTACAGGTTTTTTTTTCAATTTGCAGTTCAATAAGTATAGTTCAGTAACGGAGCGAACAAAACAACCGAACACCGTTAGTCGGTCGTAGATTCGGGAATTACCAACGGACTGGCCAAGTAGAGTTTTCCGGGTTTTCTTTTCATTAGTAACACTTAAATTGGGCCAACTTTACATAAACTTCATTCCGGGATGCTTCCTTCCTCGCACATCACTCACGTGTCGAGTTGCCGTAACCAAATAAACCAACTAATTCTAACCAGCGATTATTTATTGTGACATCGTCATGATGCCGGGCTGCAACTTTTCGTCGCAATGTTCTCAATTCTTTACTGGTGGTCTTGCTCCTGTACATCATACTTTTCCTGTTAGCAATAAAGTCGTTCCGGAGTAATTTTAAATCGAAAATGTTTTCGCAATAATATATATCTAACCATTTTAATTTTTTCAAAAATGGCATAATTCTGGAACTCGAATCATCAGTTAAACAGGAACACAAAATCAATATTAGATCAGTCAATTTCAAACAGTTGCTGAAGAATAGAGACTAGCATTCGTTTCATGGATCGTTGCAAAGATTTTCAATGGTTGTTTTCTCTAACGAATTATAAATCTTTACCGATTCATCTTCTGAATCGTGTCACAGCTGTGTCGATTACTTTTATGAGTTTGAGATATTTGCAATGAGCTTTTTTTTCGTTTCTCGGCTTGATGATATAAGAAACGAAGGCCCTTATCTGCAATGGAGCAAAATGATAAATATAGACTTTGTAGCAGAGAACAATGTCTTTCAATAACTTCAATCCCGGAGTATATATAATTACTCATGGCTAAATGTATATTCTGAGCGAGGATAATGGGCTGACTGCGAAATCTTTTCCGCTATAATTTTATTCACGTGTCTAAAAACTGAATTTGTCTAAGACAAAAACGATCATATTACATGATGGTTGAAGGAGAAATATACAGTGTATTCCTTTTTATTTATACGTATAGATATAGTGAATAAGTTAAATATATTTTAAAGTACTGTATATTAATTAAATTATAAAATATTACACAAAATACTAATTGATGATTTATTGATAATAATTTCTTTTATTCTGTATAATTAAACATTTTTACATTTTTTTAGGTAATGAGTGCATTTTATTCAGTTTTACCCACTTTAATTCACATTACCGGAATACTTGGCCGAAAGACTTGCTCTTCAAAAATTAATTAAAACATCCCAATTACTAAAGCAACGATTTCTTAAAATATGTAGAGAAATTCAGATTTGCAGTTCCTAAATTCGGTTAATTACCATAGAAAATGTCTAGACGATATTTAGTAATATACTAGCTGCAATTACCCGCTTCGCTTGGTTTTTATTTGTTCGTACATTTATATGTAATATAGTTTTTTTTAATATAAAAGACTGTTTCTCTTCCTCTACATAATCTTTCTCTGATTCGATGTATTTCCCTATAATTTTCAAATTGCACTTCTGTCTGATTATTTCTGTTTCTCGTAGCAATGTTAGATGTACAGTACTTCTCTTTCTTCCGTGGTTTCATTTTTCCGCACCATCTTTTGCCTTTGAGATATGATTCGAGACCGCAAAAATTCTTTCTTACACTTTGGCATTGTTTTTTATATTTTTACTTTTCACACTTCACTATTCACTTTTCACTTTCTACTTTTTTCTGTTATTCGTACACTTTTACTTATGAAAAATCAACTGAAGCACGTGAGTCACACGTCTCCAAAAGCCATCCCCACTACTCACACATAACGGTCCTCGACTATTTCAAAACATCTAAGTTTAACATTAAGATTACATTATAGTCAATCTTGCCCGTTTTCACAGAATGCAAGAATTAGGTCCCCTGTTTCCAGACTAATTAGAAAATTTTTTACATGGGTCTAAAAATATGTTCGATTTCTCGCAAAAACGCAAAAAAACGCATCTGCGCCTGTAAATCTTGCACGCCGCTTTATCTTAACACTTCCTTTGTTACTCAACACTTCCATTGTTAACTTTACATTCCAAAGATAAAGTTTTTTTTTTCTTGTTTGTAGCAGAAGAATCAGTTCTACTTCGTTTGGATGACATAGTAGAGTCTCTCACGTCTCCGTAGATATAACAAACAGAAATAAATAACACAAAATAAATTGTAACTATATGTCGATTCCGCGCGACGCGTCCGAACATGTAAGCCGAACAATAGTGTGGGGGGAGTGAGTAATCAAGGGTTGCGTGGCGCTCAAACAAAAGACGAATCAACGAGATTTGAAAATCGCGTAACTCCGGGTTCGCGTAAGTCGGGGTAGCGTAAGTCGAGATATTACTGTACTGTAAAAGGAAATTAAGAAAACTTTATGATAACATTTGTAAAGATTACACAATTTATTAAATGTTAAGGATAGTGTTTTCTAAAATTAGTAGAGAATAAAGTACAATAAAAATCTAATCTTTCGTATTCATTTTGAGAATAATCATCAAGTAAAAAAATATTTCACACACTTTTATTCTAGTATTGCATTCTTTCAATACAAAGACTTACGTTTTTTTATGTATTTTCATACAAAGACTTAAAACTTACTTTTTGAACAATCGAATGACGGATTTGTTTGAAAAAGTATGTAACAATAGCATTAATTGATTAAATTTTCATTTATTTTTTCTTTATGTAAAAAATGTCTAATATTGCTGAAACATTCAACAGTTTTTTAAAGAACTTTTTCACACTTAACTATCGAACGTTGTTGTACTGTACATAAGAAAAAAATTGTACACTGAGTTTACCTCATTTAATAAATTTCCGTTTATTTAAAGAGCGTGCAGATATAAAATTAACAAATTTCGAAAAGCAAAGCATTCTAAACCTGATGTTTGACTGTATATGTTTTTCTAAATAATCGTTATGGTAATATCTTTTATTAACATATATTTTGCGTACATTACAAATATACTTACATATACTTAAGCAGTTCTTAAGTATGCTTTTAAAATCTAACAATAGAACGGCTTAATTTTA